TCTTATTTTTGAATAAAACCAAGAATTCCCACTGCCGATTATGGCAAGCGTTTTAGGTGGATTTTCACTGGTTTCCTAACTAGTACTTTCTTTTCAAAGATTTCTTATTTAAAAAAAAAATAAGGACATTACTCTTGAGTATTAAATACCCAAGTCCTGGCAAAATCTTCTAGGACCATGCATCTTAGAATTTGGTTGGATCTTGTATTACATACAGTGTATCACACTGTTGAAATGATTTCACACCAGTAAGTATGATTTTCCCAACTAGATCAGAGGCTCTTCAACATTACCAAATCCTCCACAAACAATTCTTTAACTTTTCTAGAATAGCTTTGATCTAAACTGGATCTAAATTGACTTGAAATGTCAAGAAAAAGAGGCCAACGCACTAAGACTCTTCCTCTAAGAGATGGTTTGATAAACCAAGGTTTAAGCCTGGTTGTCAAATTCAAGCTCCCCACTGCTCTCTCCTCATCTCCTTGGTCCCTTGAGGGTGACATGCACCTACGGTGCTCAAGGATCAGCAGCAAGCTTTCTTTCTGGTCTAGGCCCCCAAATTTTCATTTTGATCTAAAATTGCAGCCATGATCTGGGGCTCCTTTTACTTAGGGTTTACACATTTTAAGAACTTGAATATGGCAGGGGCTGAGAGATGACCAAGCTCTCAAATTGAGCTTTGGGGAACAAAGGCTTGCTGGGCTAATGGCATTTCAGAAACAATGACAGTCAGGCCCCTTGCAAATGGGGTGGGGGGGGTCCCCTTTTCAGCACTGATGAGTGTGGACAGAGCCTCCTAGATGCCAGAGCAGGCCTGGTTTCTAGTCTCTCTTCGGCCACTTACCAGTGTGTGACTTTAAACAGGTGAATTTACTTCTCAGGCACAATTCACTCATTATGAAATGAAGACCATCTGAAAGGGCTCAAATTCGGACTCTACTACTTACCCTTGGACAATACTACTCAAGTTTGGAGGCTTGGGTTCTTCATCTATTAAATAAGAATAAAAACACCTTCCTAGCAAGACTGGGGTGAGAATCAGAAATAATATATGTAAAGTGCCTGATACTGTTATTAGCATTGTTATTCCTTCTCTGGAGATTTAAACCTGCTGTCAGAATTAAATGAGATAATACATTTGAAAGGGACAGGAGTCATAAAATGACTCGACTATAACTATACTGCCCGGTATCCCATCAGTACTGTTGAGCAACAATGCAGAGCCCTCCCGTCCATCACCTCCTCTGGCACCCTAATTATCTCCACATGGCTCACCTGTCTCTCCAGCATGAAAAAAGTAAGGCAGTTTAAAACCTTGCAAGGCTGGAATCATCAAAGCCTCCTTGTAGTAGTATAAGGAGTAGCCAGTGTCCTCACGCCCCACCTGCAGGACAGAGAGGAAGGGATGTGGAACTGTCTGCATACTCCGTGCCTTGCTTTGTTGATGTTACCTCCTGTAGCCTGTGAACCCTCTTTCTTATACCCTTCCACTACTGCTTGAGGCCTTAGTCACACAGCCTTTTAAGAATAACCAGTAGCAGAATTTGGGCAGAAAAGAGTGCTTTCTTGCCCCAAAATGACTTCCCCCTTAGTCAGAGGTGTACCTTGTAGCCTCTCAGCCCTCCCATCTTGTCTTCTTGCTCTACCTTCCAAGTCCCTATGCTTTAGCCCTGAGCTCCTTAGGGGAGAGACAGTGACAGAGAGAGCAAGGGAAACAGAGAAAGACAGAGAACAAGAGAGTGACAGAGAGAACAAGAGAGTGAGAGACTGAGAGTGAAAGAGACAGAGAGAGTGTGGGGGGAGAAGGAGAGAGAGAGAGAGAGTAGAGCGTGCGAGCCAGGAGAACTGGTCCAGGAAAAGTGGGGATGCTGCTCAGTCACTCACCCCAGGTGGGTCCCTGGGTGGGTCAGTTTCCTGATAGAATCCCTCTGTGATTCAGCTACCAGCTCTAACTAACCAGAGAAGCAGCCACCCCCAAATCATACTTTTCATCTAAGCCACACATGCCCTAGGGCTTTGTAGCTGTATGTCAGTAGTAAGAGTACCTTCAGAACACCAATTATAATTTGGGGCGGAGATGACACATTTTTATAATAAAATAAATATGGATATTCAGTGTAGTAGAATGGAGCATAGGCTTGAAAGAAACTTGGAGCCTGTGAGCAGACCCCTTGAACAGCTACCTAATCCTCCTCAGACTCCCATTCCTCACAAGTACTTATTCATTATAGTCCTCATATGGACTCTTCCAAAAGCTCCATACTAGAAGTAATCCCACTCAGGCGCCTTTGTCAGTGCTGCACACAGAGGGAAAAGCTGAGATGGGAGGGACTTATGCTCCTTTTCTGGAGAGCAGACCCTTTGAGCCACCCCCAAAGATCATAGGAGGACATCCTGGGTCCAAACGAAACAATTCCTTGAAATCCACTTCCTGGGGCTCTGGTTAGTCTGAAAGAAAGCGCTTAAGCAGTCTCCAGGAAAATGTACAGATTCTATAAGAGAGTGTCAGAGTGCCTGAATGCGATTAATGAGTCATCATGGGGGAAGTATGGCCTGGCTGCCAGCACATAGCTATGGCTTCGATTTGGTGTGGGGCAAAGAGTAGCAACACCACCTATGGATGCGCAGCTTCAAACATAGCCAGAGGAGCAAATGGGTTGAGAGGGAGGGACAGCTTTCACAGCCCTGACAGTGTGGCCGCTCCACTTCCAGACACTGGCCCGTGTGCTGAGCTTTGAGGAGCAGATGCAGGTGAGCAGAGCAGGCTAGGAATGAAGACAGAAGGCAGGGGAGTGGGAACAAGCCCACACACCATTATTGCTCCAACTTACTGAATCCCTTCCCTATTCTGGTACTTTCCATTTTAGCAGTCTGGCCTTTTCCGCTTTCCCTTCTCTGGTGACTGTCATACCCCTGCAGGTCCCTAGAAAGGGTCAGCGCTAAACTCTGAGCAGGCGGTCAGCAGCCTGAGCCTCTGCAGAGGGTTTCCGTGGGTACTGCCCGGCCCTTCACAAGAGCTGCCTTGCTGTGTGGAAACAGTTACCAGATCAAACCCTGCCACCGTCTTGGGGAACCTGGTTCGAAGCATCATGGCTGTTTGGATGGATTTCATGATGAGGGACACATTTCTGAATCTGTGAGAAAGACAGAGAGAAGCATGGGAGACAATGTGGCTTGGCGCTGAGGGAGCTATGTGCCCCAGCAGCTCCCTCAGTGCCCATGGCTGGTCTGGTCTAGTCCAGTCCAGGGTACGTGGTGACCATTTCCTAAACCCTCAGCACCACTGTCTCCACGGCCCACCTCAACTGGGCTATTGCAATCCTTTTAAGTGGCTACAGCCAAGAGATATTTTACCCAAATCAATGCCTGTTGAGGACTCTGGCTAGCTCAAGCTAGTCCTACAGTCTGGAAAGCATGTGAGGTAAGAGGACCCATGATCAAGTTTTATTGGTCTACATCTGGATGAAGCAAAGTGGCCTTGTCGAAAACTTGTCCTGTATCTGTAAGAGGGTGGGTCCTGGAAGTGGGTGCAGTACAGAGGCCAGCTCTCTGTTCACTAGACACCTGTGAAATGCCACAGGTCACCTAAGTCTCTGTTGGGTCAGCTGGAACTGACAACTGCATATCTTCTTCCTCTGAAGTCAGCAAGGCCTGGGCACGCGAGAAACCACCTAACCAAGCTCTTACCTCCCTCTGCACCTCTTTCATCAAGTACAGAATAGGGACAGGGCAAGCAGCACAACAACAGAAGCAACAAAAGAAAAGGCCTGGCACAACTCAGCGAGGGGATGAAGGTCTCTGCCTGGCAACTGGCTCACTTGTTTCAATCCTCATTTCTGTGGGCCCAAATTGGTCCTCCCACACCTGCCCATGCCCTCTCCTACAGAGCCCTGTGGGAAGACTGCAGCTCAGCCCTAACACCTTCCCTCCCTCGGCCCACAGGGAACCTCTGAGCAGAACCACTGGGCCCATCCTGGCTGACCAGCACACAGGTGCAGGCCTCAGCTCCTGAGGGCCCCAGACCCTCACATGGAGGGGAGGAGATCAGGGGGTGGGGCCAGAGAGGAGGCTCCTGGGAAGTCTGGTTGCCTTTTAGAGCCCTGAGGGGTGTGATCCCCATGGCTGCTTGCCCATACATCTCTAGGCTTGGGCAGTCACAGGACTTAGACTGGCTGCTCTTGGGCAAGAGTGGAGAGCTCTTTGGTAAAATCAAAAAGAAAATGAAGCTCTAAGGCTTTCTGCACTTG